GAGAAGGCATGGATGGACACGCGTGTGTGGGAGATGTACTTGACTGATCTGCTCAAGTACGAGATCGAAGGCCCCTCTGTTATTGTGGCCGACAACTTGGATTGTCATGTCTGCCAAGCCTCGCACGACAAGGTGTCATCTGAACTATTCAGTGTGCTTGAGCCCTTGCCCAAGAGCTCCACCAGTGTCTGCCAAAGTTGGACGTGGGTGTGATGGGGCCTCTGATGAGTAAGTTGCGCTCGAAGTGGCTCCAAAAGCTCCTGTCACGACAGCGGCAGAAAAGCGCCTGGTCATGATCAAGCGCACGATTGCAGCGTGGGAAGAGATGCCTACTTCACTGATCCCCTGTTCATTTGAGAAGGCAATCCCTGGTGCCCCCATTGCCCCTTAATTTGCGCAATATTTCGTTTCACAGTAATTACTCTTCACAGTAATTGAATTTCGTTGTGTAAAACTTAGTTTCATCTCGTCGTTGTCGAAAATGGGTTTATTTTGTCCAATCAAACAACAGTAGCAAATTTGGCGAACAATTTAATCACGAATAAAACCATCACCAATTAATATATTTCCGATACAAATTTCAAGATAACAAGGTAGTACCACTGGGTTTATTTTTCCGTCGTTACATGTATTAGGAGTTTAGGCTAGTGGATAAACTAGGTTCCTAAGTTCCTTAAAGATTACCGTGCTTGTTCTTCTCAAATCTGGTCTAATACAGTGAACCGGGAAAAAACTCGCAAACGTTGTACTTGCGAGTATTTTGAAGTTTGTATGCATCAAGTTGGCCTATGGTCAGTGAGCGAAAAAAATCATGGATAATGATACCCATCAAATTCTGAAACAAGGCCACTGATTGGCCAACACACCATAGAAAATATGCAATTTTTATTCTTGACCAGTCCGGGGATAGATCGTACAGTACCCTTCAGCCAATTGATGTGATCAGTCATTTTGCAAGCAAGGACTGTCCGAGGATAAAGTGAGCCCCAGAAAAGCTGACTAACTGGCACCACCAAAAATGCCGACCACCTCCAAAACATGATCTGTTTTATAGAATTCTACCACCTGTATACATCAATAGACAGATTTCGCAAACGCTGGTTCTATTCTATCCGTGATCTAAAATTCAGAACACGGATAGAATGAAACTTCACAACCATCAAATTTCGCGAGTCATCCGATTCATATTGGTTCTCTCTGCTAAATTCACCCAATCAACTTGTGGCATCCTGAGTGCCCACCACCTCCCAAAATGTTGTCGTGCAATGAGATCGAAGCGCTTCTCAAGAAGCGACGTGGGGCGAACTGCCGCAAGCGCTTGAGACTGTTTCGTCTACTGGCTTGCGTCGTGGAGAGAACTTTGGTAACGGACATTCCTTTTGACCTCCAATGCTCGTCCGATGCCGATGCCACATTGAAGTTCAAGTTTGACGTCCACGGCGTCCAACGCCTCGTTCCACATTTCAGTGCTGAGGAGTCGGCGTCTGATTGCACCTCGTTGGACATGATGGCTGTTAAGGGTGGCTCAAAGTGAAATGTTATGCGGATGCAGTGGACAAAGTAGTGGTTGTAAAATCGTGCGATTTTGGCATCAGCTGCAACAAGTTGCTGCAGGTTGGTTCCAAACTAATCGAATTTGACAGGATAGGATATAGATAGAACTGAACCAGCGTTTGTGAAATCTGTCTAATACCAAGTCAGAAACTCATTCATTTTGACCAATTGCAGTGTCGATACAAACGAACCTGTGATGGACTGACAGAACTTCTCGTGATTATAGCCAATCAAGTTGGACAAACTAAACCAATTTTAAAAATTGATTTTATTCTGCCTCCATGCATGTCAGAATGATAGATACTGTACCATGTCGGCTTTTCCGGGGTTCACTGTACCTCCGCGAAATTTGACGTGGTGATTACGGTAGGCTAACGAAAGGTTAGCTGACCGTTTCAAAGCAGCACATTGCGTGTGAGGGGTGAAGGATTAGCATGGGATCCCCATTAGGATAGTGCGACATTATTTTTATATATATACAATGTGATGCCACTGGAAAATACCTTCTCGAACGGTTTCAACCACGTTAGCTATGTAGAACGAGGTGTGCCCTCGATC